AGTGCATTTATTGTCGTCTCTTTTAAACAAAAGATGCAGATGTTCAGAAATAATCATAATAGTCTAATAACTTAACAGAATGCTCTATTTCATAAAAGAAATACTAAAATTACATAACTTTTATAAAAATTTCATTGAATTTTTAAAATCCCATGACTTTTTCAGGCCTGGGAAATGACATTTTCAAATTCCATGACTTTTCCAGGATTTCCATGACTGTGAGAACCCTGTGTTAATCAAGTTAGACTATAATCTGACCTTTAATTTAACATAATTTGACCATAAAACTGACACTGATATGTGCTGTTAAACAAGTCCAATTCAGATAACATTACGTAACGCTCGTATTGATCACACGCTTCTGAAAATGTGCCGGTTTAATCCATATTGTGTTTTTTTCTTGACTTTGAGACCACCTAAAAACTACAGGCTGTGTTTGCTGACATATGAAAACTGCTGAACATTCTGCCATAGACACATATGAAGCACAACCCCAGCATGATGTCGCCACAAAGTATCAGCTGTTAATTCTTAATAATGTCAAACCTATAGGACTAAAACCAAAGTTCTTCTAGAGGTGCAAATGCAACGAACAGCAAAATAAAAGTGAAAAAATGCATAGCACACTCCGATGGCCGATGTCCAAAAGCTTTTTTCATTTTTAAATAATGTTTTGGCAAAAAAGTCTTCGTCAGATCATTTTTCTTACTTTGGACCACAGTTTGGTATAGGACTAAACACTGAACTAAACATGGAAAAGACCAAGGCTGAACCAGGACTAGAACAGGACTAAATGAAGTCTAAACCAGGTCCAGAACCAAAGCAGGTGATGGAAAAAAAAAACATTTGTCAGCTCATATATAATACCAATACTGTAGTGTGCGTATTTGCGTCAAGTGCTGTATAGGTCAGTCGATTCACAGCAGATAACGGGGTTGATTTGACTAGATTTGTATGTTTTGGCCCAGATGCCCTCCCTTCACAGACACAGACCTTTGTTCAGTGTTTATTTTAGATAAGTTTAACCCTTTAGGCTCCACTCTGGGCTGATAACACACATCTGTCCTCTCTGCTTATCCGGCCTATTACACTATGGACTATAGATTCGTCTGTGAATGTTGAAATACAGGAGGTGATAATCGGCACCAAGACTCCAGAAAACTCTCAAGATGATAAACGAGTCCCACTTGAGTCTCTCTTTTGGGCTGCCAATTCCTACAAGTAGAGTTTAGTTTATACTCCCCTAAAAAGCCAGAATGTGGTGATATCATGTTTTGTCTAAAATGAGTTAATGTCATTTTGTTTGTATTTGAGACCTCCTTTATCATGTGAATAAATATTGTGAAAAATATCGAGCTCAAAATTGACCTTTGACTCTTATTTGTCAGTTCCTGTTCTCTGTCTTTGTATCATGAGCCAAAAATAAGGAGTCATGCAAGAAAAAGGCAGTAACTGTGTATGTTTTGTTTGTGATTTAGTTAATAAATATAGTTTATTTTAAAATCCAACCTCTTGCCTCTTTCTTTTTGACACAGGGTCTTTGACACGTTAAATAAATAAACCTTTACATTCAATTATACTTAAATGATCTTGTCCTGATCAGCACTAAACAGGAAATCCAAAGCTCTTCTATATCATTTCAAACAAACATCATGATGACGCGACCTTGGTGAGGTGTTCTTATAATGGATGGAAGTCTGGGGAAAATCAAGCAAATAATTATAATCATGTCTGTTTCTGCCTTTTGCTTTTGCATGACTCCTTATTTTTGTTTCATGATACAAAGGCAGAGCACAGGAACTGACAAATAAGAGTCAAAGATCAATTTTGAGCTCAGTATTTTTCAGATATAAATATTTCTTCATTATAGCAACTAATGGTCAAATTTTGGAAGCCCTACCGATTCTACTTTTGTCTAGGCAAAACAGAAACTCTGAGGTTATTTTTCTCACTCTGAGTTAAGATCTTTTGCCTTTATAGGGCAGTACAGTCCAGTATCAAATCACCACGGACAGCTCACGGCAGCCAGTCAGAAAGTTTGTGGCTCTTGCTGTGTACACATCAAATTTCTGCCAAATGCAAGAGGTGTGACTGGTTAATCCACAAATGAAAAACATATTAAAACACCATTAGTTTGTAACAGACATGTCACATATGAGCCTCGAGGGATGTTTATTGTCAAAGTAAAGAAATAAATGGAGATTAAATAGTTACAATTCTCATGATGCACCTGGAACTTGGTGGCTCATATGGTTCTAGTCTGGAATATCTGTACCTACCTAAACTCCAGCACTTATGGCCAAATCAGTGCTAGTGTGGCCTCTGCAGCTCAGGGAGTGAATGCTGGAGGTTCTGAGCTTTCACATGAGGCCTGTTCATAAACTGAGAATGAGAAAAACTTGTGTCGTCTATCTGCAGTTTAACCCTTCCAGATCTACGGTATCATATACGATGCCTGGGAATATGTTTTATATAACTTTTCCAACCATAAAAGATAGAAACTTATTTTATTTTTGTCCAATAGGCACTTTGTTTTCCTCCAAAAGCATGCACTCCATCCATTTCTCAAATAAATGACAAATTATGCATGGAAGTGATGTGGCTCTGTGCCCTGGACTTGACATGAGCTGTTTCCATGACTGGCATCAGTAAAGTCATGTTCTGAGGGCAATAAGGATATTTTTAGTTTCCTTACAGACTTGATATTTTGCCGTTTTCTAGCTAAGGCCCTAAAATAAGCATGTTTTATGTCCAAAAAGTTGTTTATACATGTTTGCCATTTGTGAAATAACAGGTTGTGCTGAAATAACACTTAAAGAGGGGAGTTTGAAATAGCAAAGTTAAGAAAAAAATAAAAATCTAGGTGAGGAAATGTACTTAAATTGCTCTTAGGTCTTGAAGGGTTAAAGCACAAGCAACACAGATTTAGTTGTGATTGTAGAACCTTTTAAAACTAGAACACAGTGAGTAAAGCTGGATTATTGAGCGTGCCTGGACAGTTGAATCTACCTTTTCACTTCTCTGTATCGCAGTCCTTCACTGTAGATTTGTGGATGCGTTTCAACTATAGCCCTACTGCTACATGCTGTACACACCCTCCCTTTTTCCTCCAGAGCATTAAACATGACTAAAACCCTGCGTCTCCTCTCCCTCGGACACAGAGCAGAGACTAGAGAGTGGAGAGTGGGAGTTTTGTATCAGGCAGTGCAGAGCTGGAAAAGCCTCTTGTTTTGGGGCGAGTCAATTCAAGCAGATGACTTCACTCTTCAGCAATGCAAAATTACATCCTCTGACAGGACATTAGGAATACAAGGACTGCTTCTCTTATAAATGATTACCTAATAGGGTTGTCAAAAGTGTCAAAAATCACACACTAATAGACATTAAAACTATTACTGATACTCAATACTCATTTGAGCAGGTATTAATACTAAAAAAGTCACATTCACAGGATAGAAATGAACCTTTCCTGAAGCTTTAGAATGATCTTGAGCTGCATCAGACTAAAATACGCTCATGGACCACTCTGGAACCTACCTGAGACATTGAACCTACCACTGAGACATTACACAGATAAGACCACATGGGAATATAAAAATAAGCACTATAATTTAATATAAGAAATGTGGGTTGGCTATCATAAAATACTCAAAAATGGTTCTCAGTTACATTTAGGCTGCTTGAGCAACTTTTTAAAAGAAATTGTACTTTTCTAGCAGCATATTTTTACTCCTTTTTGAGTAATATGTTTTTATTGAAGTAAATCTAGAAGCACTCTGAATAAAAGTTGTGGTCACTCTTCCCACTGTGAGTAAGTGTAAAGTGACAAAAGCTTTATGTTGATAATATGAAATGACTTGAACATGTGTTTCTTGCAGTGCTCCTTCAGATATAATTTTAGTTTGCCTCATTTTTGTGTCTATTCTTTGAAAATACCAGATTTTTTTATTTTGTCCTTCAAATTAAGCCTACCTCAACTTATAAATGACAAAGAATGAGATGTTATGTCCAGACAGTTACTCTATAAGTTACTCTTACTTGAGTAGCAGTTTTCCCAAATACCTTTTTTTACACTTACTTGAGTAGCCTAATTTACTGGATAGGGCTGGGTATCATTAAGACGTTGCCAATACGATACATAGGCCACAATACGATACAATACATACCTCAAAACAGTGCACTTTTGTATCCTAAAAGTGTTTGTTAAACCACTTCTTGTGCAAAGTTTATATGAAAAAAGCCCATTTTACCCATTCAGCTCATCAAAACAGTGAATATGTCAAATGTGTCGCATAAAAAAGTTTCCTTCCTCTAAACAAACAACAAAATTGTAGCTCTGTAACAGAATAATTTAGTAAAATACATTAAAAAATACTCTTGGTGATATATCGATACAGCAGCCCACAATACTGATACTGTATTATCACATTAAACGATGCAATATAACTATATTTTGATATTTTTGCACCTCTGCTTGAGTAATATTTTGAAGCAGGCTACTCTACCACTTCTAGACATTAGTATTAGATAGTATTATTTTGTCAAACAAGCAACAAAACTGTAGCTCTGTAACAAAATAATTTAGTAAAATATACCAAAAAATACTCTTGGAGATATATCGATACAGCAGCCCACGACATTGATACTGTAATATCCCATTAGACAATACGATATAATGATATTTCAATATTTTTGCACCTCTACTTCACTAATATTTTGAAGCATCTCTGATTAGTATTAGATAATATTATTTTGTCAAACAAGCAACAAAACTGAAGCTCTGTAACAAAATAATTTAGTAAAATACATCAGAAAATACTCTTGGAGATATATCGATACAGAAGCCCACGATATTGATCACATTAAACAATACGATATAACGATATTTCGATATTTTTGCCCTCTCCTTTGCACCTTTACTTGAGTAATATTTTGAAGCATCTCTGATTAGTATTAGACAGTATTATTTTGTCATATTATGTAAAAATGTAAGATCTTACCTCTAAATAAAGGCTCCATGCGGTGATCAGATTTTCCAAACTTTAGTTCCAGACGCGGCGCGGTCTCCTCTTCTCCGGTCTGCCGCCTCCGCGCATCTCTCACCGGGCAAAGCTTCTCCCCCCGCCCGCTCCTCACTCGGTTTATCTCGTTATGTCAATATCGCCACCTCGACCAGTGTAAATAACTTTTAACCCGTAACCCCCATGCTCTGTGTTCGTGTATTTAGCCTCCAAACCTGCTCCAAAAGTTACGATAAAAGCGACAGAGATACGGTCCTGCCCACTGACCAATCAGAGCGCGGCGTTTGTTGTTGCGTCTCACTTTTATTTAATTTTTTATTCATTTATTTTATTTTAATTATTTTGATAAGACTTCAGTCGAAATAAAAAAAAACATTTGCCTATGTGTTTATTTTATTTTTATTTATTTATTTATTTTTTTTGAAAATGAAACTCAGGGGCGGAAGGTAACGAACTACAAAAGTGCAAGTGTAAAACTGCACTTAAAGCTGCATTGCGGTACTTTTCTGGTGGGAGGGTCCATCACCTGCTTAACTGGAGATGTTATTGCTTTGTCTAGAATGTTCCACGGTAGAGATTAAACTTATCGATCTCAAGGGAGACAACTATAGGGTACATTACAGGTCAGATCTGTGGAGAGGCAACCCTATTCACAGAGAATTATTGTATTTGAGCAATAGAAACACCTAGATAAATGTGTTTTAGCACATTTTATTTGAGTTAAGTCCCAAGTTTGAGCAAAGTAAATACACAAAACACGGCTAGAAAAATTAAGAAACCGATTGAATCACTTGTAATCAGCTGAATTCTTTATCAAAATCACTATATTTGATGCTTTAATTGTTCTTAAAATCTCTACAAAATACTTTTACTTTTTACTCTTAAAGTACAATTTTTTGTGATACTTTTACTTTTACTTGAGTAATCTTTTGCCTCTGTGGCTGTGTTAAGCCCTGGAGTCTAAAGTGACAAAAATTTTATGTCGATAATATGAAATGATTTGGACATTTGTGTTTCTGGCAGCTCCTTCAGATATGATTTAGTTTGTCTTATTTTTGTGTCTGTCCTTTGAACATAGCATTTGATTTTGAACATGATTTGATTTAATTTTACGTTTTGTACTTCAGATAAGCCTACATTAACTTTAAATTAAATCAGATATTACATCCTGACAGTTAGGGTTAGGGTTAGTATAGTAGTAGTAGTAGTAAGTTAACTCAAAAATTCCTAGAAAAACAGGTATTCAGGGTCGCCACTCCACAGATCTGACCTGTAACTTGGTCTGGTTTGGTCTCCATGAGAGCAGAAAAGTTTAAAGCCATACTGTGAAACATTTCAGACAAAGCAATAACATCTCTACAGAGAAAAGCATTTGATGGATCCTAGTAGTAGTAGTATTTTTCTGAAATAGCGTACTTTTTTTCTTTTACTTAAGTAAAAAATAATATTATTTTGAAGTAACGTTACTCTCACTTGAAGACAATTTTTGGATTCTTAATTGCGTCAATATCTTGTTATGAGCTTAGGGCGCCATCTGCTGGATAAACTGGGTCAGGGATTCTTGGTTCCACAAACTAGGTAGTTTTTGGTATCAACTCTTTCACTGTAAATTGTCTGCTGTCTATTGAGACTATATTTTTATATTTATTTAGTTCATAAATGACTGAAAATAGCACATTGTGTGTGTTATAGTGTACTTTTTGTGTGTTTTTACATCAAACAAAGTCATACTTCAAAGAAAAAAAATATCTATTCAAGATTTTAAGAAGCATTGCAGTTTCTCCTTTTATTCTTGTTATCAAGTGTGAAATACCACTGACCTGTTAAAATAAGAAATACTAACAAATTTTAGTTCCAGACAGTTTGCGTCTGGGAACAAAAACTGTGGCGGAACATTAGGGTAACACTGGTCTGTGGTTGTGGGGTTATTTAGAAGATGGAGGGAAACAGAAACAGATCTGGAGACCATTATTGTTATTTTTTCTTTTATTAATTTATTATTATTATATATTATTATTATTATTATTATTATTATTATTATTATTATTATTATTATTATTATTATTATTATTATTATTATTATATTTATTTTATTTTTTATATACTGATCTAATAATAATTGTTTCAAACACATGGATTAACATAGGCTACAGTAGGTGGCAGCAATGCATCTTTTCACATCGGCGTGTTGTCTGCAGAAGAAAATCACAGTAAACACACACGGAGCTAAAGCTAACCCGCTAACCCTTTTAGTGAACAGCACAATAAAGGCTCAGAGTGGATGACTTGTCCGTGGTTCAGGTTTCTGCAGTGAAAAGGACGCGCGCTCTCGCTGTGCCAAATGGATTCTGAGTCTGTCCAGACGCACGAACCGCGCGCAAGTCTCACAGGTACGTGCGCGCTGCAGATGTGCTCGTGAAATAGCGCGATACCGGGTCCTAAGGGTGACCAGATGACCAAAATGAAAAAAGCTGAGATGCACCCTGGTTATGATGGTCGGTAATAACAAAACTATGAATTAAGAACGTTATTATTAAGCTCTCAGTCCAGTCTCACACGCACTAGAACAGGCCCATATCTGAGAGACTTCTGTTTGTGATGCATTTTCTGGCCTTTTGGCAAATTCAAGACCAGATTTCTTAGTCTGTCTAAATTACACAAATGGATTTCTTTGAGCTTTAAGCCATGTTATAATGTTGTAACGACCTTAAAATACCCGAATTTGTGTTTTATTTCATTTACATATGTTTGAGTAACACTGAATGAAACAAAACACAACTCCACGTCTGTTTGTGATGATTAAACATGATAATACAGATCAGGAAATAGTGTAATATGGTCTTCTAACAAACATAGTTTAATATTTTCTTGTTTTTATTGTTGAACTAGTCAAAATAGGGACACCTGAGACATTTCTTGTGTAAAACTGGGACATATCTGCTGAGTAAAAAGGGACATTTGGTCACTTTATACATGTATTATTAGAGCTAAAGGTCTTGAAACCTGTCAGAGCTTATTTGACAAAGAAAATGTGCTCTTTTAGGCTGTTATCACATGAATAGCTGCTTATGGAAAGTGAAAGTAAAACAAAACAGATGAAAACGACATTTACATTCTGTAAACTTGGTTAGATTTGGTTAAAGTTGATATAATCAAAAGCCAAAAGACTTCAGGGACAGAAACCTTTTCACACTTAATAAGAACAGTGTGAAAAAAGATTCTGTAGACTAGAAGAAGAGCAGACTTCAGGTACAGTTTTTGTCAAGTTTTACATCTGATAATGGCTTTGTCCAAAACTCCGGAGCAGGTTAAACTCCGTGCACTTTCACTAGAATCATTTGGAAAGTTTTAGCCCTGGAATTGACACTTGTTAACATGAAAAGAATCGCTTCATGACATCACAAGGTGAAACAGAGCATTTTGAGCTTTGGAGATGTAGACAGGCTAATAATGTAGGGTTACTCAAACATGTGTGAATGAAACAAAACACAACTCCAGGTCTATTTGTGATGAAGTAACAAGATTATAACATGGCTTAAAGGTGCATTGTGTAAATTTTCTGGTGGAGTCCAGTCCTTTTCTCCATGGAGATGTTATTGTTTTGTCTGAAATGTTTCACAGTATGGCATTAAACCTTTCTAAATCAAACCAAGTTACAGGTCAGACTGGTGGAGATGCAACTTCAGTCAATTTTGAGCAACAATTGAGCTATAAAACTACTTGTAACTGAATAAATATAAAGTAGAGCTCTTTAATGTTATACTGTGGAACATTTTAAAGAGCCATAATACTTCCATAGAAACAAGAGGTGATGGACCCCCAGCCCAAAAGCTAGATGGTGTACCTTGAAATCTCACAAGAGTCAATTTTGTGTAGTGTACGACCTTTAATTAAGTGTGTGTACAAGACCACAGAATTACATAAACAATTAAACTGGATTATTCAACTTAAAGCTTTACTGACAATGACAATTTAGTAATTAATAATATTTTATTTGGAGCTATATAATTCATGTTTTATATTATGAATCCTGTTTTGGAGGTCGTCTTCTCTGAATGCTCACTTGGTTTCAAATTTCCCAGATTGTTTCCCCACAGATCAGAGCTCGAAAGTCTCCTGCTCAGTTTTTTAAATCCATAAAGCATCGCCTCACCCAACTGCACTCACACAGGCTCTGGACCACAGCAGCACCCAGAGCCCCTCCTGCAGATTTACACCATTCTCACTGTGATGTTGATAAATGAGGACTGTTGTCTCCTGCAGGTGTCCAGACGTCCGCTCTGAGTCCTAATCCCAGTCTGAAGCAAGAACTGACAGAATCTCCACAGATTAAAGAAGAGCCAGAAGAACTGAGCATCAAACAGGAGGAAGAGCAGCTGCCAGTGTGAGTCACAAACAGTGTCTTTTGTGTTTAGATGTGTTTAAAGTGATTATTTTTTTATATTTATTAAGATCCTCATTAGCAGTATGAGGGCCAGATGGTTTGCCTGGGGTCTAATTTTATAAAGACAATATAATTAGTTCTATAATGATTTCATTTACATAATTAAAATGTCCTTAATGTGCACTGGTTGATTCGTTCAAAATGACCAAAAGAAATGTTTGAATCACATTTCACTCGTCTGACATTTCATACATTGACTTGACATTTTCAGTGAATTCATAAATACATTTCAAGCAATTTCCTGTATACATTTAGTTTAATTACATTTTTAGTACATTTTTATTCTGTTGTTCCTGGGCCAAACATGTGACTTTATTATTGTGACAGTCATGTATGTTTTTTATTTTGCAGATTTGTCCCAGACTCCGGTGGTGTGTGTGTGAAAACAGAAGAGACCTCCCAAACTGAGCTCAAAAAAGAGGCAGAGGACACCAGCTCAGAGACACATGTCCACAGAGAGGACACACAGGGAGAGGACATCAGCTCAGAGACACATGTCCACTCTGAGACCGATGGAGACACAGAACACTCCTCTGACACTGACACTGCCTCAGAGACCAGTGACACTGTGGACAATGGAGACACATCAGGAACAGCTGAAGGAGCTAAAGAGAAGACACACCAGTGCTCTGTTTGTAACAATATATTTGGGTCTCAAAAGGATTTAGAGGGGCAGACAGGAGGGAAACCATTCAGCTGTTCAAACTGTAAGAATAGACTTACTGAAAAGAATCCTCCTGCAGAACTCACAAGGACAAACACGAGTGAAAAACCTTTCAGCTGTTCAATGTGTAACGCACGGTGTGTCTCGAGGTCTCAGTTGGATATTCATTTCAGAAGCCACACAGGTGAGAAACCATTCAGCTGTTCTACCTGTAGTGCACGGTTTACCTCCAACTCTTCTCTGAAAAGACACATGAGACGTCACGCAGGAGTGAAACCTTACAGATGTTCTCTCTGTAGTTCTCGTTTTATCACGAACTTTGATCTGAAAATTCATTTCAGAACACACACAGGAGAGAAACCCTACAGTTGTTCGATTTGTAATGCACCGTTTGGCTCGAGCTCTTCTCTGAATAGTCATATGAGAAGTCACACAGGAGTCAAACCTTACAGCTGTTCTGTCTGTAATATAAGCTATGCCTCGCACTCTTCTCTGAAACAACACATGAGGAGCCACACGGGAGAAACACCTTACATCTGTTCTTTCTGTAATACACATTTTTCTTCGAGCACTACTCTGAAACATCACATAAGAAATCACACTGGAGAGAAACCGTACAGCTGTTCTATCTGTAACGTAAGTTTTGCCTCACGTTTTTCTCTGAAACATCATCTAAGAAGTCACACAGGCGAGAAACCTTACAGCTGCTCTATCTGTAGTGCACAGTTTGGCTCGAGCTCTTCTCTGAACAGACATTTGAGAAGTCACACAGGAGTCAAACCTTACAGCTGTTCTATCTGTAACACAGACTATGCCTCACGCTTTTCTCTGAAACAACATATGAGAAGTCACACGGGAGAGAAACCTTACTGCTGTTCAATTTGTAACGCACGTTTTTCTAAAAGCACGATTCTGAATTATCACATGAAAAGTCACACGGGGGAAAAACCTTTCAGCTGTTCTGACTGTGATAAGCGTTTTACTTTGAGCTCCAATCTGAAACAACACATGAGAAGCCACACGGGAGAGAAACCTTTCAGCTGTTCGGTTTGTAATGCACGGTTTGTCTCGACTTCCTCTCTGAAAAAACACATGAGAAGGCACACAGGAGAGAAACCTTACAGCTGCTCAGTCTGTAATGAACAGTTTGTGTGGAGCTCTTCTCTGAAAAAACATATGAGAAAACACACAGAAGAGGTTTGGTCTGAACAGAACGTGACTGAAGGTTTTGAGACGAGTTAAACGTCCTCATTTAATTCATCGATGCATCAATTAATTTTAAAGTGATTATTTAATATAAACAACTAACTACAACCACGGTTCAAATTGAGCTAATAGGGAGGTACAAGGATCACTGTGATTGGTCACTTATCCACACTTCAAACTCCGTCCCTTCAGCCAGATGTTTGTTTCAGAAACTCTAGGCTGTAACCAGGGCAGTCATGTGTAATGTCACGAACTTCTGGAAAAAGCAGAGGCCACCGGAGGCAGCTCAAACGTAGATTTAGGTATGTTGTAAAACACAAATGTCCATAAACATCATTTTCCTTTGTCCTAACAGGAGTGCGTGCTTCTTTTTCTCTCCTTCCTGCTCAGAGGTTGGGGTGAACTGGAGTTGTGTGGGTTGTAATTAAGACTTTTTCTCAGAGGCTTTTGTCATATGTGTATATTTGTCCAATGACCTCCAGCTAGGGATGTAACAATAACCAAAATATTTTGATATCGTATTGTCAAAAGTCTCACAGTAATATCGTGGGCTGTCACAATATATAGAATCACATGTTCCTTTGTTTAAATGCATGGTTTTATAGTTGCAACAGCTTATAAACACAGGGGACTACATATCCCATGATTCATTTCAGTGCAGACAACATGAAGAAATATGTTTTTTACTTGAATTCTTGGGATTATAACAAAAATAATTCACACCAAAATCTTGTCAAGGCATTTTAAAAGCAAAAAAGTGTCCCATCTACAATTATATTAGCATCTTCAACATATCGTAATAAATATCGTACCGTGAGATTTGGATATCGTTACATCCCTACCTCCAGCACAACGTATCCCTAATATAATATAATAACGCTGATCTTAAAGTGCAGCATGATAATAATAATCATTTATACAGTGCCTTTCAAAGCACCTTAAGGACTTTACAGAGCAACAACCACAACACAAAACTTCATTCTAGGCAAGGTGGGTGAAGTGTTCTAACCACTGAAAGAGAAGCAGCACATGTGTATGGACTCTGAATTTTTAATAATCACTAAAGGAGAAGGGGGCGGAGTTAGGGGGTAGGTGGCAACTGAAGTTTTCTGAACACCCAAGACACGAACGCAGGACAATTCAGAATTACTCAAACGTGCAAGAACTGATTTAACAACTTACGATAATCTTATAATGAGGGGACGTCTCTGTTAGGGCTGTAGTTGCTCAGTCGATTAATCGGTCGATGGAATCTTAGTTAATAAAAATGTGTGTTAGTTACCTCATTATTTTATTTAGACGATAAGGATTTCTATGGGACAACAGCAGAAAGGAGAAGCTACTGAGTTATAGCTGCACATTTGTGGTATTTTCGCTATAACGTAAATATATGTTTACATAAATATTACAGTGCATCATTTGCCCAGTGTCATACATTCAACTTGTACCCAATTTTATTTTATTAAATGAAAATCTGTGGAATATTTGCTCAACTGAAGAATATCTACTGAGTCCACCAAGCCTCTTAAGTTCCATCCTAACAGTGTCCATAAGGCTCTGGCAGGAAAATCCGTTTTTCTCAAATAACTTTAAAAAATAATGCATTTTGGGCCATGGTGTCAATGAAAGTTGAATATAAATGTTGCTATTTTTGCATCTTTTGGTACCAATTTTATATCTCTATCTTCATAACTTTCTGAGATATGACAATTTTATCAAGATTTTGAGTGTTTTTCACACTCCAATATCCACAAAGGCCAAAGATGAAGGCAAGACAATTTTATTTGTACACCACAATTCGTACACTAAGTAATTCAAAGTGCTTTACAGAATAAGAAATACATTAAAATCACAATAAAAACAAATCAAAACATAAAGATTAAAATTTAAAAAGAGAGACATAAATTAGAGAGAAGAGTGCGGAATGAAAAATCTTTCAGTCATATGCGCAGTGAAACAGAACCGTTTGAGTCAAAGTAGAGGTTTGTCTCACATGTTCAGGAAGACTGTTCCAGGTTTTAGCTGCGTGAACCTGAAACTCTGACTCCCCTTGTTTAGTCGTGACTCTGGGCACCAGCAAGAGGCTGGTCCCTGAGCTCCTCAGAGTGCGAGATGGTTCATATGACACTAACATAACAGAGGTGGACTTTGGTGCTCGGCCATGAAGAGACTTGTACACAAGCAGAGCCTCTTTAAAATGAGAGACATAAAATTTGTTCTCTTGCTGTAGTGATCATAGACTGTATAAAAAAACTGGAGTAAGCGAGTGTGACGTCACCAGAGCGTCCCAATGACAGGTATGTCTCAGGGTTTGGTAAGTTTCCAGAAAAAATCTGGATGTTATTAAAGAAAAACAGATTTTTCAGCTCAGATTCAAGGCTTCTGCAGGGACTAAACTTCAGAGGCTTCATGGACCCAGAAAACATCAATAGAATTTCATGAAATTTCTCACGGAAGTTTACTTTGGCAGGTGTAAAATAATTTGATACTAGGTACAGATTGATTATATAAAAATTTCAAAAAGTTGGGCAAATGTTGCACTCTAATAAATATATTATTATTTTCTTAATAAATTGTTGTTTCCTGCAGGTGTAGTCTTGTGAGTTTGGGTCAGATAAATTTTGATACAGAATAGCTGTGTCGGCCTCTCTTCAGTTGACTAACCAATCAGCAGCGTGTGTTTTTAGTCCAACAAGAATTTATTTTGTCGACTACATGCCTACCGTCACTATAAAAAGGTTAGTTAATAAAAGTAGATTTTAATATGTCCCCTTAAAAGTGAATGAGTAGAAGATGTTTTTGTCATATTTGAACAACATTTGAAAGTCCTTCGTCCTGTGTTCTTCTTCTTTTGGCATTTGGATAGAGCATATGCTGCCCCTTTCTGGATTTGTGCTTCTGTGTGACTCATAGATTAATAATATGAATAAAAAGTGCTCCCGTTTCATTGTCACCCGTTCATAGTTTACTGAAATATGAAAGCATTCTCTGACTGTGGGGTTTTCCTGCTAAAATGGTCAACATTCATGAATATTTTGACAGAATTAAAAATCATTTCAGACCTCTTTTGTTGTCCAACGTCATGATTCACAACAACAGATCTTGACAAGGTCTTAGTGTGAATCATTATGGTGAGAATAGAACAAATTCAGATTTAAAAGTGCGCCTCAAGTCACAGGCCTCAAGTCACAGGCCTCAAGTCAGAGTCAAGTATCAAGTCACTGACCTTTAAGTCCAAGTCAAGTCCTAAGTCTTAATGCATTTTATCAAGTCAAGTCTCAATTCGTAAAAATAGTGACTCATGTCTGACTCACTCGAGTCCAAGTCATGATTTGCAAGTCCCCACCTCTAGTTTCTCCTTTTATGTTTTTCAAAGAGAGTGTGTAGAAATAGAAAAAAATATATATTTTTTGTTTGATACTGGTCTAATAATTATCAGATTGTCCCGTCAGAGTTACACAGGTTACAGTAGGTGGCAGCACTGCGTCCTTTTACATAAGTTTGTAGTCCGCTGAAGAAGACCATGGTAAACACACACGGAGCTAAAGCTAACCCGCTAACCCTGTAGTGAAAAGCAGAATAAAGGATCAGAGTGGATGACTTGTCCGTGGATCAATTTCTGCAGTAAAAAGGACGCGCGCTCTCGCTGTGCCAAATGGATTCTGAGTGTGTCCAGACGCACGAGCCGCGCGCAGGTCTCACAGGTACACAGACTAAAAGGCTCAACTCTTTGCTTTTCTCTGCACTGTTTCCTTCCTCAAACTTTTTCCACGCAGTTCACTGGTGGGCAGAAGCACATTATAGCCAAAAACTGCTGAAAACTGCAAATAATCCAAAAGACATCAGTTTCACACTAAATAAGATCACTGCGTAAAAAATCTAAACTAGAGGAAGAGAAGATCAGGGACAGTGTTTGTCAAGTTTAAAATGTTATAATGACTTTGTTAAAACCCCTGGAGAGATTAAAATCACAAACGACCATTGTAGTAGTAGGTGTAGTAAGTAAGCTATAGTGACCGGCTTTTTTTTTACACGAGTTATGTGTTATTTAAAGCTGCACTATGTAACTTTTTGGGTGGGGGTCTGTCACCTGCTTGTTTTTATGGATATGTCCTTCCTCAAATGTTCCACAGTGTGATATTAAACAACTGTACTTTACATTTATTCAGTTTCAGGTGGTTTTATAGCTCAGAAATACCTAGAAAAACAGACATTCTGCCTGTGAGCGGGGTCGCCTCTCCTCAGATTTGACCTGTAACTTGGTCTGGTTTGGTCTCCATGAAGATAGAAAGGTTTAATGCCATACTGTGAAACATTCCAGACAAAAGCAATAACATGTCCATGGAGAAAAGCGTTTGACGGAGCCTCCACCAGAAAAGCTACACAAAGAAACTGCCTTATTCGTCTATGCTTCGCTGAAAACACAGAGGACGTAGTTTCTGTGGAGAAACTCTTGTGAGCTCATAAATACTGGACAAACAGATGGAAGAGATGGACACCTGGTTTCCACAGTTCGCTTAGGGCTGCTTTGGTGGAGTGTTTCCCTGACAACGGGCTCAGGATGCTTTAGGATAGGTCTATAAGACACACCCAACTGTGTTTTCAGGTTTATTTACTTTAAGTTTCTTGTGATTTCTTCATCTCTTGTGGTTTACCAGTAACTGCATCCTCCAATATCCCTGTGAGACAAAGTGACATCATAGTATTTCAGTTTTATTACATCCCTGAACCCTGGTGATAAAGTGGGAGGAACATGATCCAGTTTGTTCCTGTAAAATTAAGACCTTTAGATCTTTAGATTTATTTATTTATTAATTTATTTATGTATTTATTTAGATAGGGACAATGCACAATCTACATTAACCTTAACAGGAGAGATGTTTGTACCAAGTTGTAGCACCAGTTCTTATTTCCACCTGTCGTCCCTGGGCAGATTAATTGATTGATTGTATTTAATTGACCTTATCTATCAGCTGTTCTTCCTGGAGACCTGTGTGGCATGTTTTAGGTTGATGGGGGGGGAAATATCAACCTGAAAATATCAACTGTCAAGAGAGAAGTGTTTTCTAAAAGTAATATATTTTGTTATTTTTGAGGAGAATACTCTCAAGTCACAGAGCTTAACTCCCAGTCATGTTCTGAGTCACTGGTCTCGAGTCTGAGTCAAGTCCCAAGTGTCAAAATGGCAGCTCAAGTCGTGATTTGCAAGTCCCCACCTCTACAATAAATTGTCATGAAACCATGTATAATTACTTTAAAGTCGCCAGCTTTGCCTCACACATTTCTCTCAAATGTCTCCTCTTAAAAATTCTTGTAGCATTCAGAACAAAATATTTACCGGGAATTTCTTTTACGTGAGATAAGTAAGAGTTTGGTGCTTCTATTGTTGATACGGAAAAAAAAGCCATGCTGTTTCTCAATCCTTTATGTCAGGTTTTTGTCTTTTTAATTGTTTCCATCATAAAAAACAGAGTATGTGTCTCTCTGATCTGTGCCACAGGATCATAAATACCCTGCGCCCTCTAAGGCACACTTACCTTCTGACTGTGATGCTGATAACTGAGGACTGTTGTCTCCTGCAGGCGTCCAGACGTCCCTCTGAGTTCTAATCCCAGTCTGAAGCAAGAACTGTCAAAGACTCCCCAGATTAAAGAAGAGCCAGAAGAACTGAGCATCAAACAGGAGGAAGAGCAGCTGCCAGTGTGAGTCACAATCACTTTAAACACATCTAAATACAACTGTTTATTTATTTATTATAATTTTTGAGATTTTATTTATTTTTGTTTATTTTTTACAAATTAAGAGGCTATTTATTTTATTTTTTTATTTAAACATTTTATAATAATAATAAAAAAACATAATTAGTTCTGAAAACATTTGAATTAATTTCCATGATTCAGATGTAAAAATCTTAAATGTGCCGACCAAAACAAATGTTTCAAGTACCTTACTGTAATAAAAAGAAGTAAATACTTCTAAATAGTTTAGGCAATATCTTGTGGTGTATGTGTGTATGTATGTGTTTATGTATGTATGTGTTTGTGTGTTTATGTGTGTTTGTGTGTGTGTTTATATGTGTGTTTATATGTGTGTTTATGTTTGTGTTTATGTTTGTTTTTGTGTTTATGTTTGTGTGTTTGTGTCTTACAAAAAACAAAAAAATCATAACACGGATCAGTAAACAAACAAACACATAATTTCTTACTGTGACAATCATGTTTTATTTTTTGTATTAATTTTCAGATCTGTCCCAGATTCCGGTGGTCTGTGTGTGAAAACAGAAGAGACCTCCCAAACTGAGCTCAAAAAAGAGGCAGAGGACATCAGCTCAGAGACACATGTCCACTCTGAGACAGACGGAGACACAGAACACTCCTCTGACACTGACACTGCCTCAGAGACCAGTGACACTGTGGACAATGGAGACATATTGGGACCAGCTAAAGGAGCTAAAGAGAAGAGACACCAGTGCTCTGTTTGTAACAAAATAAAGGATTTAGAGAGGCAGATTACAGTCCACACTGGAGGGAAACCATTCAGCTGTTCAAACTGTAAGAAGAGATTTACTGAAAAGAATCGTCCTACAGAACTCACAAGGACAAACAAAAGAAAGAAGAAAAGAGGACACACACAACAAACACGTTTTAGCTGTTCTGTGTGTAATGCACAGTGTGGCTCGAGGTCTCGGCTGGAAAGTCATTTCAGACGTCACACCGGAGAGAAACCTTTCGGCTGTTCTACCTGTGACGCAAAGTTTAGCTCCAACTCTTCTCTGAAAAGGCACACGAGACTTCACACTGGAGAGAGACCTTACAGGTGTTCTGTCTGTGATTCTCAGTTTATCACAAACTATGATCTGAAAATTCATTTCAGAACACACACAGGAGAAAAACCTTACAGCTGTTCAATGTGTAATTCACGGTTTACGTCCAACTCCTCTCTGAACCAACACATGAGAAGTCATAGAAGAGAAACCATACAGCTGATCTGTCTATAATGTAATGTTTTTCTATGAGCTCTAAATATTCATGGAGTATGTTATGTGAGCCCAGGAGAAAAGACACGAGGCTGGAGTTCTAACGCAGGAGAAGTTTATGTACATCAGTACAGACCAAGCACCTGGAGATATGAGCTCTCAGACATGGTGCAAGTGTGGTCCATTCTAGTCTTAGTGCAGTCCAGTCTGGCATGCTTCTATTGTAGGGAGTATTATACCTCTGATGACTTGGAATGGAATGGAATTTCTCTAACTGCAAGGTGGATGAAGTGTCTTGCTTAAGGACCTGGTGACAGAACTACTAGTGTGTCAAACTGGAAACTGATCTTCTGACCTCTGGGTTGGGGGACCACTGCTGTAACCACTGTGCCACTGTCAGGAAGTTTGCACGTGGCTCTTCTGGTTCCTGCTGACTCCCATTGTCTTCCATTAGAATATTGTCGCCCCTTTCTCCGTAACTGCTGCTGTGAGCCTCGTCATTTTGGTCTTAAATGTTTATATTAAGCTGCTCTACATCCTGGTGTTTTGTTGTTTTGGTTTGTTTTGCTGTTTTGTCCTTAAAAAAAAATCTCATTCATAATAGAGAGCCTAGTTTCAGATTCGCTCCTGTAACTGTAGCATCACGAGCTTCATTTGAGTGGAGCTGAACGCTGTGGGTGACGTCACACTCTCTTAGTCCACTTTTTAAACGGTCTATGAGGCTATGCTGTGGCCCCAAAATGAAACATGAAGAAGAACTGATCTCTTTCCAGTGTCACTTGTTCACAGTCAGTTTAATGAAACATTTTGCACAAAGCCTTCTCTGACTGAGCTCAAACTGTTTCCACATTCATGAACAGGCTTCATCTGCTTTTTAGAATTTTATGGCTCACTTTTAAAGTTATATTTCAGGACTTTTAACCCCATACGAGCCCTCCCGCAGCTTTAAATCCCCAGGCAGGTCCCTATTTGCCTTTTCTTAACTGGTTTTAACAATTTTTATTTTTTATTTTTTTATGAAGTAATTAAATATATGAATTGAAGTGTTTGATCCTATTTGTATCATTCTGTTAATTGATCTCTGACTGTCTTAAACCTTGTTTTTAACAGTGCTCTATAAATATTTATTCAGCATTATTTATTATTTTGATAGAATGACATCATTTACATTCGTTTAGACTCCTTTTGCAGTCCAATTCACAAAATGGCAGGAAAGATTTACTCCTTTTATCATCCAACTGCACACTTCACATCATGACAAGACAGATCCTAAATTCACTGATGAGTCTGTTGAGCATAAGATAATTTTTTTCTTCAGTTGACACAATCGTTTACAATCAGTAGAATCAACCCGAATACCTCTGTAATGGATAATAAATAATAATAATAAATAATTTGGGCTCCACATCTTCATGTTCTCCTCGTCACAGTGAACCTCACACACGTTTTCATTCTCCTGCACTCACTGACAACAAACAGACTCTTGACAGGATTTCTTTTAAGAGGCCTAACAGGATTGGCCTTGGATCCAGAATACACACCTCCAGGATGAGTCTGGTCACCGGTGAATCTCCCAGAGTTCAGATGGGCATGATTGACAAGTGGATTAACCAATCAGGGACATGCATGGTAAGTCCAAACCTGCTTCTTATGAGGAAAAAGTAAATGACTGAAGCACTAAACTGTTTTAATCTGAGGTGAAAGGAAAGTAATTTTGTTTGTAAGTGATGCGTGACCAATGAGCTCCTTCATTTCACATGCGACAATGAAATAGACAAATCTGATTGGACGATCAAGTTTGGTTCTAGCTCGAGGTGTGACAGAGTGTGGGGAGATATTATTCTGAATTTGCAATCACACAAACATGATAAAAAACATACAACCTGCATCCAAATAAACTTGATCCTGTAATCCTCAAGCAAAGTTCAAACAGACGTGGGCCTCTCTTTGTTAACACCATTACAAAATCATGTCAAGCGCTTTGCTCCAGTGACACTAAAGAACTTCTCTGGTGGAGCCATCTGCTTGTCTCCATGAAAATTCTATTGTTTTGTTTGTAATGTTCCACAGTATTTAACTTATATTTCTTGCATTTATTTAAAGCCACAAAAAGCCAATTCTTAATCAACAAATACACTAAAGGCTTTTATTTCTGAAAAACATGTAACCTTAAACTGAGCAGGCTTGCATCTCCACAGACCTGACTCTCACTTGGCCTGGAGAGCTTCCACAAACACCAGCTTTTCTTTTCGTAGCACGTATTCTCTGAAAGCGACACTAGAGGGACCCACTTCCCTGTGAAATGCGTAACGTGCTTGAGCAGCTTCAGGAAAATGCTGCTTCAAATGCTCAGGATATTTGATGGCACGAAAGCCTAATGTGTTTTATTGGTTATTGATTCCTGATTATTTTCTGTGAAATGTTTTATTTGTGCTCAAAGAATGACAGAATCATGTTTACTTTATATTATTTACCAGAGTTGGGGACTTGCAAATCATGACTTGGATTCAGAGTCAAACTTGAGTCACTATTTTTAGGACTTGAGGCTTTTTAGGACTTGATAAAATAGAAAAAGACTTGGGACATGACTTGGACTTGACCCCTGTGACTTGAGAAGACTTGATGCTTCTCCTAAAATATATGTTTTTAGAAAATACTCTTCTCTCTACAGTTGTGTGATGGAAATTTATATTGTGGAAAGATTTCTCTCAATGTGTCTTTGTGTAAATGAATGTGGTTTCTACCTGAGACCCAGACCCCCACAGGAAAATATTGATTATGATTGATTAAATTAAAATAGTGATTAGTTTATCTATTAGAAACATATTTGGTCTTGTGTCTAAAACTCATTTGGTTTGTTAGAAAGACCCTTCAATGTAAACACTTCTGTTCCCTTTTGCTTGCTGATCTTATGAGGACAAATTTGTGAATATCGATGCAAATCAGACCAAGCACATCTGGCCACACCCCAGTAGGAGTCGTCATCTTCTCCCTTTGAAATGTATATGTCCTCTGTTCAACTCAGACTACATAAACTTGGTGCTTTGTAACATTCAGAGTCAAATGGGGTAAGATGTGGTAGGGACATGCTGCTGGTGAAGAGAGGCTGTTGGTCTCTGCTGTAACAAGAATAAACCTTGGTCTGTATCCCAAAAACTCATCGGGTTTCGCAAATGGATTCATTACTTATCATCAAGCGATATACAATTTTTTCCACAACAGTTGATAAATGCGGTGCTGAATTTTACAGGAACAAACTGGAACATGTCCCTCCCACTTCTATTTGTTACTTGTAACTGAAGTACTGTGATGTGGTATCATCAAAAGTACTACAGTAATATATAGTACAATACAGTAAAAGAGAGGGAACTACATAGAACATGATCCTTCTATTTCAGTGCAGACTTCTTGACAAAAGAACTTGTTAAACACTCTTAAATCTTAATTATTTATATTTTGACCGTAATAATTCACACTTTTGTCAAGTCATTTAAAAGCTAAAATTTGTATTTCTTCAACTCATATACCGTGACTTTTTAAGTACAATTTAGTTCATATCAAGTCATATAAACAGGAAAAATCTAAGCTATATTTGTTTACTTTTTTGGTTTGAAGACTTGAAATAACTGGAAGCTCAAAGCAGACGACTCAGATTTGACTTGGATTTATGGGCCAGTGACCAGAGACTCGACTTGGACTTGCCTGTCTTTGACTTGGAACTTGACTCAGACTTGAGGTCAAAGACTTGAGACTTGCAAAACAAGGACAATGACTCTGCTATTTACAACACCAATTCTTGCCATTCTTCTACCTAAAACCTCTACTGGAATCTTTGGGGGTAACTTGGTGCATTTCCTCTCTACCCTATAATCTACCCACCCTTTGTGTAGCTATTATGTTTTCACTCAAATCATATCAATTGGCTCTAGGCTACAGTCTGAGTTTTTATTCATAGTCAGACTTGGACGCGTGGTGTTTGGAGAATTTCTGCAGCCGCACTGAAGGCCTGGAGTGAAAAGTTACCACAGCCACAAAACAATGCCAGTTTGTTTTTGTTTTTTTGTAACATTTGGTTTTATTTTTGATTCATTATCACAAAGCTGCTATCCCCTCGCCCCGCTGTGTGCATCCCTCCTTTCTTTCTTTCACTTTCACAAATGAATTTTAAAGCTCATTAAAAATCACAAAAGAAAGCACCGGTGCGCCTGGTCAGACACATCACAACGGTCAATAACAGTGTCGTAAGAAAATCGTGGAGGTCTTTGCATTTTGTATCAGATTCTGTCCTCCAGCTCTCTCCATCTTTGAACTTTCTAAAGAGAATAAAGTTTAAGATGAACACAGAAGGCTTCAGGCTGTTCTCACACTGCCACGACTTCACTTAAACTCAGCAGCTGGATTCTGGAGCACAGTAAACAGCCACTGGAGCTCCTCTCGCTGTACCACACAGCCCCCAGTGAATGTAACAGAATGAAACTAGAAAAGCAGTCAGAGAGCGCAGACCTCCGCCAAGGACTACCCCCATTTTTTATATAAATTGCGATAAAATCAGTCTTCTGGATCAGATCCGGATCAGCCTTTGGAATATGAAAGAGGATCCCATTGTCCATCCCTGAGTCAAATTTCATGGGGTTTGGTCAATAATTAACAGAGATATTGAGAAACAAAATTTTTGGCCCCATTTACCACAATGTTAACTCAAATTTCAAAGTGATCCAGAATCCAGGATTTCTTCCGGATCACCCCCAAAATGAAATCAGTTCTTCCTTTTCACATTTCCAACAAATCTTGAAAATTTCATCAAAATCGGTCCATAACTTTTTGAGTTATGTTGCTAACAGACAAACAAACAAACAGACAAACGCCGGCAAAACATAACCTCCTTGGCGGAGGTAAAAAGCGCTTGGACCAGAGGATGTATGAATGGGCACTGTGGAGCTTGCCGTTTCTGTGTTTTGCCTCAGAAAGCTTTTTCTCTCCATTGAGGTTCATTTGGTCTTCCGATAATTTATGTTGTTATGTTCATTTTTGAGACCTAGAGTTTGTTTTCATACCTGACAGTTTCAGTGGAGGCAGGACGACAGCGCCATCTACAGTTTAACTTCCTCAGGACAGTATCCCAGGTGTGCGAGAGGTGTGCAGGATGAGTGGGGCGTTTTTACTCTCACACACCTGGGATACTGTCCTGAGGAAGTTAAACTGTAGATGGCGCTGTCGTCCTGCCTCCACTGAAACTGTCAGGTATGAAAACAAACTCTTGGTCTGAAACAGAACCTAATAACATAAATTACCGGAAGACCAAATGAACCTCAATGGAGAGAAAAAGCTTTCTGAGGCAAGACACAAAAACGTCAAGCTCTACAGCGCCTATTCATTCATCCTCTGGTCCAAGCGCTTTTTTCATTCTGTTACATTCACTGGGGACTGTGTGGTAGAAAGACAGGGCCAAAACCTGTATAAATCAGCTGACTGGACATGTCACAGCAACATCACGTGACTCTAAGGAAGACCGTTAGTGAGCAATCAAAACTGTCAGGTATAAAAACAAACTCGGTCTGGAAAAAAAGCACCTAATAATAAAAATTATCGGAAGACCAAATAAACCAAATACAGAAACGGCAAGCTCCACAGTGCCCTTTCATACATCCTCTGGTCCAAGCACTTTTTTCATTCTGTTACATTCACTGGGGACTGTGTGGTACAGCGTGAGGAGCTCCAGAGCATGAGAGGAGCTGCTCTACAGAGGGAGAAGAGTGGCTGTTTACTGCGCTCCAGAATCCAGCTGCTGAGTTCGAGTGAAGTAGTGGCAGTGTATGAGAACAACCTGAAGCTTTTGTGTTCATCTAAAACTTTATTATCACCTTCCTCTGGTAGAAGACAGCATAAAAAACCTGTTGAAATCAGCTGAGAGGACACATCACAGCAACATCACGTGACGCTGAGGAAGATCGCTAGTGAGTAGTCGAAACTGTCAGGTATGAAATCAAACTCGGTCTGAAAAAAGAACCTAATAACATAAGCTTTTTCTCTGCTCCACCAGCGCACATCGCCCTCCCGGGTTTAAGTGAAAGACCTGTCGATAGGCTGTCCATGCGGCTCTGTCCACTCGAAGTCTGTTGCCATGGAGATAAGTCGTTTGGTCCGCTGATGTCCCCTCGTAGTTCATGGTGCGACGTTTGGGGTGACTGAGGCGTTTTGTGTCTGAACGAGAACTGGACCGACGATGATGTAAACAGGCCCAGTGTGCAGCGTGTGCACCGGGGCGGCACCGGCGTGTGTGACCAGGCCCACAGCGGGGCTCTGCGGGGCTGTTCTGTGCGTCCTCATGTGTACTCGCAGCTCCGCTTTAGAGGGAAACGTTTGCTTACAGAAAGAACACACTTGAGGTCTCTCTCTGGTGTGTATTCTACTGTGAACAACCAGAGCACTCTTATAGGAAAATGTTTTGTTACAGGTGGAGCAGCTGTAAGGTCTCTCGCCTGTGTGCGTCCTCATATGTGAGCTGAGTTTATACTTATTAGAAAAAGCCTTATTACAGTTCGAACAGCTGAATGGTTTCTCCCCCGTGTGCAAACTCATGTGATGCTTTAGCCCAGAGACGCCGGCAAAATCTTTCCCACAGAAGGCACAGCTGAATGGTTTTTCACCCGTGTGCGTCCGTCCGTGAGTGTGGAGGTTAGCCAGCTGGGAAAAGGATTTGTTGCAGACTGAACAGCTGTAAGGTTTCTCTCCTGTGTGCTTTCGTAGATGTACTTGTAGAACCGCCTTAGTGGAAAATTTCTCCTTGCAGACTGAACAGCTGAAAGGTCTCTCCCCTGTGTGTGTTCTTGTATGTGCACGTAGAGCTGAATTTGTGGAAAATGTTTTGTTACAGGTTGAACAGCTGTAAGGTCGCTCTCCTGTGTGTATCCTAATATGTGAATGTAGAGCTGACTTAGTGGAAAATGCTTTGCTACAAGTTGAACAGCTGTAAGGTTTCTCTCCTGTGTGAATCCTAATGTGTTTTTGTAGATCACATTTACTCCCTTTTATCTTCTTTTTACAAACAGGGCAGTGCTGAGTCTTGCTCCTAGTTCTTTCAGGTGTTGCTGACTCGTCTCCACTGTTCGCGGTGGCACTTTTCTCTGGTGCAGATCTGTTTTTGGGAGGTCGAGCAGTGGTGCCTCTGGTTCTGGTCTGGACTTGGTCATAGTCTTCGTCATCTGAGCAGCTGAATGGAGCTCTCCAGTCTTCATCGTTGTCAGTGTCAGAGGAGTGCTCTGTGTCTTCTTCTGTCTCTGAGGCGATGTCCTCTTCCTGTGTGTCTTCTTTAGGGACATGTGTCTCTAAACTGACGTCCTCTTCCTCTTTTTTGAGCTCAGTTTGCTGAAGCAGGGGCGTCTCTTCTGTCTTCACGTACACACCACTGGACTCTGAGATGGATCTGAAAAGGATTCAAACACGATCATGTCAATCTAACGTAGAGATACAAACAGACAATTTTGTTACTTAAAGAGTTTTTTTTTTTTTTTTAACATCTATTAACTGCTAGCACATAACGTATTTAGATCACCATGTCACTTTTCACATACATGACTTGAACTAGGAAGTACGAGCACATAAGTCTTGTGCTCAGGTCTCTGCACTGGCTCCTGTGGCTTAGAGACTTTAAAGCAGCTCTGCTTGTGTACAAGTCTCTCCATGGCCGCGCACGAAAGTACATCTGTAACATGTTAGTGCCTCATGAACCATCTCGCACACTGAGGACTTCACGGACCGGCCTCCTGCTGGTGCCCAGAGTCACGACTAAACACGAGGAGTCAGAGTTTCAGATTTATGCAGCTAAAACCTGGAACAGTCTGAAGATGTTAGACAGACCTCTACTTTGACTGTTTAAATCCAGGCTTAGAACAGTTCTGTTCAGCTGCATATGATCGAAAAGTTTTCATTTTTCATCCCGTACTCTTCTGTCTAATTCTCTAAATCTCTTTTTGATTATTTATGTTTTGATTTGTTTTTATTGTGATTTTAGTGTATTTCTTATTCTGTAAAGCACTTAGAATTACTTTGTTTACGAATTGTGCTGTACAAATAAACTTACCTTTAATGTTTTGAATATCCTGTATTTGCCGAAAACAACATATTAACATGTTTTATAAGTTTGCTCCCCATGTTAAGTCACTCCCCCTTCAGAGCACTTTCACATTAAACTCAACGTGCATTCTGCCGATGAAACTACTGCACATCGCATCAGGTTTTTCAAATCGCTGTGAACAGTTTTGTATCATATTTTTGTATATTTATGGAGAATTGTCGCGTGGGTGCATGGGGGATGTAGGCTTGTGGGCGGAGCCTTGTACAGACTCGTACTGCCAACTGTAAAGAATGTTCAAAGTCTCAGACATCATACATGGATGACATCTAAAACCTCTTCAAGCATGTTTTTAATGAGAGAACAAGCTTTCAAGCGCATATATTCCACTGTTTTATGATCTGTTATAATGTGAGTAACTGTTACCAGTTCATGACATCACAAAGTGGAACAACGGATTTTTAGCTTTGGGGATGTGGACAGACTAATAATAAAGGATTACTCAAACTTGTGAATGGAAACACAACTCCAGGTCTGTTTTTTCAGCATTTTAAGTACACATACAGGAGCAAAAAAATATATATATTAATTTGTAAACTGCATAAAAATGTTTTCTTTATAATCCTTGTGTTCTTGTGATTTTGTTTCTTTTTGTTTCTTTGTAACTGCAGGCATACTTGTTTTGTTTTGATACAGCCAGAGCAACTGTCTCCAACTTGGAAGATTCACTGGTGACCTAGTTGCCAAGTCTGCTTCTTTATAGCGAGTTTGGGCATCTATTTTTTTTTTTTTTTTTTTTTTTAGAAATGAGGTTGAGGTAAGTGAAATACAAAGTGTAAAAGTTTGTTGTGAGTTGCACGTTAAGGCCAAAAACATTTCAAGTTCAGACTTTTTTTGGACCTGACCGCCCATTTGCCACGTCAATAATGAAAGGAAATAAATCAGAGTAAAAAAAAAAGAAAATATAAATTAGAGCTTGGTATCATTAACAAGTTACTGATATGATACATACTTCGATACATGTCTCGATAGATTGAGCTTTCGATTAAGTACGATATATTTCAAATAGTTTCGTTACAGTTCAATGAAAATAAAGGCTAAATTTGTCTATGAAATTAAAAGTTTGTTAAACCACTTCTTGTGCAAAGTTAATATGAAACACACCCATTCTAAATCAAAAGTGTGAAAATGTCAAATGTGTCACATGAATGAGTTTCCTTCCTCTAAACAAGTAACAAAACTGTAGCTCTGTAACAAAATAATTTAGCAAAATATACAAAAAAATACTCTTGGCGATATATTGATACTGTATCATCACATTAAACGATACGATATATTGACATTTCGATATTTTTTCACACCCCTAATATAAATAAAAATCTAAATTGGTGCATTTTTACAGTAAGTGTCAATTGATTTGTAATGTTTAATATGATTTAGTGGCTCATTTGCAGTTTTGGATTTTAGAGTAAAGAATGTTTTGCTATTATTAAGGATTACATTAACCAACAAACTATTGATTTATTTTGTTTTCAAGCACAATTACATAAAAAACGTCAGTCACTGAACTAGTTTCTTCTGCTTTAATCACATTTGTGTTTGGGTCTCACACACTGGTGGGTCCGTAATATCAGAGGAGCTGCACAGAGGATTTAACAGTGATCTCAGTCGCACAAATACGGATTCATTTAACTTTACAGTGTTTACGTTTGTTTACATTAGCGATTAGAACCAATATGGCGGCAGGTGGCAGAAACTATCGTGCGTAAAACAGCATCATGTGTAGATCAGACATGTGCGTTCAAATGGCGGCGCTTACACTGGCAGCGGCTCTTCCTCCTGTTTGATGCGCGGCTCCTCTGGCTCCTCTTTAATCTGTGCGGTCTCTGGGAGGTCCTGGGTCAGACCCGGGTTCAGACCGGGCCCGGGACTCGTTGGGAGACTCGTCTGCATTCCCGCCTGGAGCAGCGCGGCTCTCGGACTCTGCGCCGTCTCCATGCGCTCCGGTTTCCTCTGGTTCTGTCTGTGGAGCGGCTCGGTTCCTCCTCGCGCTCCGCTCCTTCAGCAAAGATCTCGGCGCTGAGGCATTAGATATTTTCACACAAACCTTACCAGCTTTAGCTCCGAGCTAAGCACAAAGATACCGGCCAGAGCGGCGAGCGCGCACTACGCTGTGTCCGTCCCTCCGAGCGTTGCCAGATCTTCAAAATCATACTATCGTGTTTTGCCCCAGATTACTAAAAATATTGAGAATAATGCGCTAAAACATGTTCAGAATAGAATAAATAATGCAGAAATACACAGCCAAACAAAATAATACAGTAACACGCTCAGTTTTTGTTTTTGTTTTTTTGTTTTGTTTTTTTCTTCTTGAAGGTTTTGATTGTGAAATGAGAGGACAAACAGCGAGGACAGAGGAGACACACTGAGGAGACAGGAGACACAGCGAGGATAGAGACAGAGAGGAGCCAGAGAGGAGCGAGGAGAGGAAAGGAGACAGAGAGGAGCCAGAGAGGAGCGAGGAGACACAGAGAGGAAAGGAGACAGAGAGGAGCCAGAGAGGAGCGAGGAGACACAGAGAGGAAAGGAGACAGAGAGGAGACAGCGAGGATAGGAGACAGAAAGGAGCGAGGAGACAGAGAGGAGAGGAAACACAGTGAGGAGGGATGGAGACAAATCTGATTCAGTTTGTCTCGTTTTTATGTCTGTCCTTTGAAAAAAGATCTTTAATGCATTATTTAATGTTTTATCTTAACGATTCATTTCAAATTATAAATCAGATTTTACGGTCTCGCAGTGACTCGTTACATGTTACTCTTTCTTGAGTAGTTTTCCCAAATAGGCTACTTTTACACTTACTTGAGTAATTTCTTGAACCACTACTTAATACTTTGTACTTCTACTTGAGTAATATCATTTTAGAGTAACGTTACTTATTGCTTGAGTACAATTTTGGTTACCGTACCCAAGATGATGCAGCATGTACTTCATCCATCACTCTTCCTGTACTTTAGTTAAATAAAATTGAAACAATAGCAGCTCGTCATTGTGAGACAGAGTTTCACCCTGAACTCGGCCTCGTGGTTTCCTTTGTGGTTTCCTTCCTGCCTCCTCTGAGCTTCAGACATCGCTCACGGGACATTTGATTGACAGCTGAGGTGTGGAGGAGGGGGGAGGAGCAAAGGGAATTGAGATGCGGCCCTCGACATCACCCTCGTCCGTCTCCCAAAGGTGCGCTGCTGACGTCACGCGCGAGGCCTTCATGGTCCGCTCAATAAACGTGAATTTCTAGAACTCCAGCTGTACGTGCGGAGACACGTGCTCAGGGACAGACAGGGGGGAGAAGTAGAGCAAAGAGCTGCGCATTTAGACCGATACTTGGTTTATTACACATTTAGAAACAACTTCTCCACAGCGCTGAGTCATAAGAGAAAAGAATCTGTTGTTATAAACTGTGTCTGTATCATATTTGTTTGGACCAGAGGTGTGTTTGTGTCTGTGTGTGTCTGTGTGCGAGTGTATGTGTATGTGTCCGTGTTGTGTGTGTCCATAGTGCTGCACTGTGACCTATAGGACCTTACAGTAGGTCTATAGTAGTAAAAGAGGTGTCCCCATGTGGTGCGATAAAGGATGATAACAGTAGGATAGTCGGCCTAAACTTGCATTAGGTTACTGATTGTTACACAGCCAGTTTTTTTTTTTTTTTTTCTTTTCTCTGATCAGTTGCTGATCTGATCCAAGGGGATCAAAAGGGCCAGTTTGTTCATGTTTTACTTAGTTTGTGTGCTGTCAGATTTAAGTTGCAGAGTCCGACCAAATCCAGAATTAAACAGCTTCCAACCATAATGTTTCCATGAGACAAACTCTTACTCACTTTAAATCAGTAACAACAGGCCTATATTTAAAATAAATAGCTATAGTGCCATTTCATCTTTAATTTGCGCAGTAAAAAAGGGTCATGAATACAGCTGTAAATAACCTATAGTATAATTTGTCTTTGTTAAAATCTCTTGTGACTTTTTTTTGTTATTTTTATATTGCACTATTTTCTGTTGTTAACCATTAACTTACACGTTTATGTAATAATAATTTAAAGGTCCTGTTGGTGCATCACTCGTGGTCATACTTGGTCTCATATTTATTCTGTTCTATGGTGTTTGTTTATGTGGTGCTTTGTGTTGTGTTGTCCTGTTTTTTGATAAAACATGTTACCCCTTGTCCCAAGACAAATTTCTCCCATGGGAGACAATAAAGGATTATCTTATCTTATCTTATCTTATCTTATGTTTATCTTTTATTTTGAAGGGTTTATCTTCATCTAATTACCTTGACAACGAGAAGGGAAAAACATTATACGGAGCAAATGTGTACACATGTATTTTTTGGTATTTTTTTATGTGTTTGTTTAGCTTCCCCTCTGAAGAGGCACAAAGGTATGTTATTGATGTAGATATTTCTTTTGAATAACTTTGTGTCTCTACTTTTTATCATTGTTGACTGATGTTGTTAAGATGAATGTAAATATTAATCAAACTTGCGCTGAGTTTTGTGAATGTGTATTTACACACTGTATTTTGTATTCCTTTTAGCTCTTACGGCAGACTGGAGGATTTATTTCCATTAAATCTAAAAATCGCCAGTTCAAGTGTCAGTCTTCATTCAGAGGGATATTCTACAACAGCATACAGCAAGCAAAGGTAGACTATACTTGCTGTTATTGTAAGATTATGGTGACAGAATTGTTATTTATAGCCTGAACATGTTCAGATTTTATAAAGTATGAAGTAGGATTTTTATGTCGCAAAAGCATTTTTTCTAAATTGTAGATAAAGGTCCAAAATGACACATAATTGACTCTTGTGAGCTACTGGAGTTGTCTTCTTTCATTCACACATGTTTGAGAAATCCTTTTTATAAGTCTGTCATCTCCAAAGCTCAAAATACTCTTTTCCACCTTGTGATGTCATGAAGTGGTAGTTGTCAAATGAACAGCTACCTTTTACATTTTGTTCAGAAGAGACTGGCAATTTTAGAACTGAAATTATCCTCAGAGGAGCACTTTCTGTAGCCTATTATCCCTTGACATCACAAGCCTAAATATATAGAATTTGTGTTGAACATGTGTGGAGAATGACACAAAAGAAGAAAGAGATCCACATTGCAGTTCTTTTAAGCTCCTAAATTTTTATTTTAATGACACCACAATGTGACATTTCAGATCAAGGCTCTCTTCAGACATGGAAGGTTCAGTTTCAGACCTGTTTTATAAATATATAGGCCCAGGTCTAGTCACCACCATGTGATCAGTCCCAATATAAACAATAAAAAAAAAAGATTATGATAGGAAAATTTAGTTTGCCACAGCTCTTTGGACATTTTTTTCTCATTGGACCCAGCACGCAGTTTCAACTTTTATTATATAGTTGAATTGTCTAGACTCTAGGGTGACCAGACACGCACGTCCAATAAAAGTCAAAAACTGGGACACTCGGTTTGTGGTGGTTGGTAATAATAACATTGTGAAATGAGTGAGTAATTAAGGAAAATTGTTCTGCACTCAACCCGTTCATGACTAATGTGAGTAAGCATAGTCACATTTTCTTTGTCGTTTGGTCATTTTTACCTCAACAAATGTCAGTTTATTTATTTATTTATGAATTTATTTGATGAAGTAGCCTGATTTGGCCATCTAAATAAAGGCCTTTTAAGTATATATTTTTCCTCGTGTGATTTTTACTTCTTTGGGTTTGCCTGGATTCCGTTGTTTTTAAAGTCTTTTGACCTGCTCCCACTGATTGGAACACCTCAGCAAACAGCCACATTTTTTGTTTTCTCTGCACAAAATGTGACTTTATGCTTTGCTTTACTGTTGGCAGGGATCAAATTGGTCCAAAGTAGGGACACCTTGGGCATTTCTTGTATAAAACTAGGACAAATCAATGTTTTTGGATACATTCTGCTGGGACAGGGGACACAGGGCTCAAAACTGGTACTGTCCTGGGTAAATAGGGGCATCTGGTCACCCTGTTATCTCTATTTACCACAGAGGTCTCCAACCTGTAGCTCAGGAGCTACCAGTAGCTCTCCACCCCCTTCCAAGTAGCTCTCCAAGGGATTTCAGAATTATACATACTGTGCTGAATAAGTAAAATTTTGATTAAATGCCTTTTAATTATGTTCCCATTGTACATGTATCATTTTGATGCCTGCACTGCAAAAATCCAATACTAACTAAATAAAAATGACTTAAATTAAGAACATTTTGCTTTATTAGAGTAGATTCAACTGGAGTTCAAGCAAAATTACATTTTTGTTCTTATTTTAAGTGCAAAAAGTTGTTGTTTTTTCTTATTTTAAGTGCAGCAAGATGTGTTTTTATATTTTAAATACCAAAAGTCTTGTTCCATTGGAGGATAATTTTACTTGTCAAGTGAAATTTATTTAAATCACGATAAAACTTTTTTAAATTCTAGTCATCTTAACTTGGCTAGATTTTGATTGTTGTTTTGCAGTGTAAGTTTGTGCACTAATGAATGGATAATGATTTATGTTTTCTAGGTATTTAACTGTGTCACGTGGATTTTATATACAGTCAAGCCCAAAATGATTCATTCCCCTGACAAATTTTGACTTAAAGTTACTTTAATTCAACCAGCAAATTTTTTCTTGATTGGAAATCACACAGGCGTCTCCCAGAAGATAATAGACAATGTACACGAGGCATCATTGTGGAAAAAAATAAATGTTTCTCAGCTTTTATTTATTAGGGGTATGAATAATTTTGGGCTTGATTGTATATAGTCATTTCTTGTGACTGTTAAAAAAGTAGCTCTCATTCAGTAGCATTTTCGTTTTGTAAAAAAGAAAAAGGTTGGAGACCCCTGATCTACCAGTACTCCAGGTATGTTTATGATGAGGAAACAAACCTGGTGTACTGTACACAGCTCACCTCTGGACTAATTATAAAAAAAAGCCAGTTTGCAAAGACTGCGGGTGGTTTACAATGACGCTTTACGGTGCTTTTGAAGTGGCCACGATGGACGAGTGCGACTGAAATGTTTGTTACTGCACGAGTGAACACTTTGCAAGCTGCACTTAGAATTTTAATGTACAGTTTTATCTGCAGACTGAACAAATCGGACAATGAAATAATAATGTCACTCACAAATTTGAGATTCAGTGCAATAAGATATCAGTCCAACATGTGAAGACACTGGTATGGCTGTCTTTTAAAAACATAAATGTTTATTGTAAAATAGAAAAAAGGAGTGCTTCTGCCATCCTTTTTTTCTATTTTACAAGAATCTAAGCCCTCCGGTTTGATGAGCACCTGTATGCGTAAGCGTTTTGATCCAGTGTAGCGTTCCAATTTTGTTATTTTTATTCCTAAGACTTGGACATAAATGTTTATTGTTTTGTATTGTCACTGCCCTTGTCTGTTTTTTAAAATGGACCATGAGTCCGGAATAAAGATGATGATGATGGTGATGATAGTAAGTTTTTATCATATCATAAAATAAATAAATAAACAAATAAATGGATAAAACAGACAGACACACACATATAACAGGTTTAGCAGGAATCTTTTATGACATGGTACGGTTTTGGAAAAGGAGAAGTGGTGCCATTTCCGTGCGCTCCGTGAAGCTGGGAGGGGGGCGGAGAAACGTAGCGCGCAGGCGGTCCGAGTCCAGCCTATGGTACAGCCCCATCAGCCAGCCAGCAGCTAGCGCCTGTTTACCTCCACCTCAGCTCTATTCCCGTGGCTCTGGCGGCGCAGTCAGACCCCACCATGCCCGTACTCCCCTCCAGCTACCACCCACACGTCTCCCGGGCCCCAAAACCTACCCAAAACCCCCCGCAGGACGCACCGGTGACGCGCGGTACAGTACAGAAGACAATAGCAGGGGCGCACGACTGAACGTCTTTGACCGAGCACCACAGCCTAATCTCCGGATGAGAGTGGCTCCTGAAGCGTCCCCCTGCTGCTAAACCCCGAGCTGGAGGATTAGCAGAACAAAAAGTACCAGAAATTCGTAGAAATAATAAATAAAAATGAAATTCACGGAGCATCTCGCCGCGCACATCACCCCGGAGTGGAGGAAGCAATACATCCAATATGAGGTAAGCCGACGAGCTAACTAAACCATCGGCTAACTCGACTTTCAACGCGATTTATTTGCTTTTTTGTCCCTCTATTAACTCTATTAACTTGTTTAAATTTCGCTTGTAAATATCACTAGGTTTAATATTTATTTTTGCGCGTCATCCGATAGAAAATGGGGCAAATAATCGAATTATTAAGAGGGTATAGTTAGCCCCAGGAGCTAGCCTTGTTTTTGTTGCTACATGTCAAAGTGGATTGAGAGAAGCCTGCACAGAGATGGAGAAAAAAAGAATAAAAATTGAGAATATGCACGATCTGGTTTGGTTTTGCTGATATATGAATTAATCTGCACGTCCTATGCAGTAAAAGCGTGTCTTCTTTGAATTAAAAGCTTGCAATATTTGGGTAAGAAGCAGTTTGGAAAGAAACTAAAATGAATTCATAAAGGGACTGAAATTAATGGAATGTTTTGCATGTAAATTAGGGTGACCAGACGTCCCAATTTGTCCAGGACAGTCCCAGTTTTGAGTCCTGTGTCCCCTGTCCCAGCAGATTTATCCAAAACTATTGATTTGTCCCAGTTTTATACAAGAAATGTCCCAGGCGTCACTATTTTTGACCAATTTTATCCTCGCCAACAGTAAAAAGAGACATACATTGACATTTGTATAGGTAAAATACAGAAAAGCTGCTTAAAAATGACCAAAACAGAGAGAAAAAGTGACTATACTTACTCAACGTTGGTTATGAATGGACTGAGTGCATAACAATTATAACAGAAATGTCCCAGGGGTCATTATTTTCAACCAATCTGATCCTCGCCAACAGTAAAAAGAGGCCTAAATTGAGATCTGTTTAGGTAAAATACAGAAAAGCTGCTTAAAAATGACCAAAACACAGTAAAAATGTGACTATACTGACTCACATTTTAGTAATGAATGGGCCAAGTGCAGAACAATTTTCCTTAATTACGCACTCGTTTCGCAATTTTATTATTACCAAGCACCACAAACCGGAGCTGTCCCAGATTTTGATTTTGAAAATATGAAAATATGAAGAGTTATGAGCGTTTGCAGTTATGTTTATTGTAGATCTGTTGTTATTTTTAGTCAATTACATTCTAGTATTGTCAGGATACTAACATTTAAAACTCTATTTCGATTGATGCTCAATACTGATTCTGATACCACAATGAGAATAAAAATACTCTTTATTTAGAAGGCAGAATGTGTTTTTCAAACTGTAGTACATTCTTTTTATTCCCATGTGGCCTTAAATTATATCTGTGTCATTATCGGTCGTCCGGGTAGGTTCCATCGTGGTTCATTCTAAAGCTTTTCAGGAAAGGTTCATTTCTGTCTAGTGAAAGTGACTTTTTAGTTTCAGTACCTGCTCAAATAAGTATCTAGTTCTGATTCTAGTACTGATTCAAATTTTCATGCTTTTGACAACCATATTACATTCTTAATTATAAAGTTGTCCAGGGTTGGGCAAATCATTGGGATGTAACAATAACCGAAGTATCGAGATATCGGTATCGTCAGAGTTCTCACAATAATATCATGGACCATCACAATATATCGAATTACAAGTCTCTTTGCTTAAATTAAGAGTTAAGACGCAGCAATAACTAAAAAAAGACAGAGGGAACTACATAGACCATGATCCTTTGCTCCATTTCAATGTAGAGTATAAGAAGAAATAACAGTTCTAAGCACTTTTAAGTCTTAGTTCTTTGGATTAAGTTTAGTCAAGGCATTTTAAGAGGAAAAAGTAGCATATTCATATTCAAATATTGCAATAGATATCATACCATGAGATTCATATCGTGAAAATATCGTACTGAGAAATTTGGATATTGTTGCATCCTTAATCGTGAGCAAATCAGTCATCTTGACGATACAGGCCTAATAAACCTTTTTTAATATAACTAAGACAGTGACATTATTAAATTGTTAAATAAAGTGTTAAAAAGTCTCATAGTACCGTAGAAATTAGAGGTTGAGTTGTGTTTTTTTCATGGCCATTGTACTGTAATGTAAACGTAATGAACTAAAACTTCACCTATTGCCTCTTTTTACCACAAACCATTCATGTAGAGCTGTGTAGACGTGTTTTGTTCAGTTATCTTTTCGCACTAAATACTTCAAATAAAGCTTTATCGTGTACTCTTTAGGCAGCAGGTCGACCAAAACTAAATACTGGCCTCTGCTGGGAATTAAAAGGTGCATTGTGTGACTTGGTGGAGGGTCCGTCAAATCCTTTTCTCCTTGGAGATGTTATTGTTTTGTCTGGAGTGTTTCACAGTTAAACCTTTCTATCTTCACAGAGACCAAACCAGACCAGCTTAGAGGTCGGATCTGTGGAGAGGCGACCTCACCTCGCTCACAGTCAGAATGTGTTTTTCTAGGTATTTTTGAGCTATAAAACCACCTGTAATTGGAAAAATATAGGGTAGAGCTGTTTAATGTCATACTGTGGAACATTCCAAGCAGGGCAATGACATATCCATAGAAACAAGCAGGTGACGGACCCCCAAAAAGTAAAGTGTATATGAAATCTCGATGGAGTTGCAGCAAAGTAGGTTGAGGCAGCAGTTAATCTGTTGTTGTTGAAATGCTGAGTGGACAGTGCTGAGGTCACAAGTTTAACCTTTGCACTATTAATGCCATTACCACTGGGATTCACCTCCCAACTGTTTACATTTACTTTGTACAGTCCACTGGTACTATTACTACTACTACTACTACTACTACTACTACTACTACTACTACTACTACTACTATTACTATTACTTCTGCTACTACTATTACTGCTACTACTACTATTACTGCTACTACTACTATTACTTCTACTACTACTGCAGTTACTACTACAACTATCACTATTACTACTACTACTACTGCTGCTACTACTACTATTACTTCTACTATTACTATTACTTCTACTACTACTGTTACTACTACTACTGCAGTTACTACTACAACTATCACTATTACTACTACTACTATTACTATTGCTACTACTACTACTTCTAAACGATTACTACTGCTACTACTTCTACAATTACTACTGCTACTACTACTATTACTACTGCTACTACTACTGCTACTAATACTACTATTATTACTGTTGTTGCTACTACTACTACTATTACTATTGCTAATACTACTGTTATTACTGCTACTACTGCTAGTATTACTGATGCTGCTGCTGCTATTACTACTTCTGCTACTAGGGCTGACGATTTGGGAAGAAATTTTTATATTTTTTCTACTACTGCTACTACTATTACTACTGCTACTAGGGCTGCACAATTTGGGAAAAAAATTCTAATTGCGATTTGATTTGCGATTATGTTTCAAGATTGTGTTCAAAGTTCCCATTTTAATCACCTCCAGAAGAACTGTCAAAAAGACAGAAATATGAACTGACAAACAAATAAGAAACACATGAATTTCAGAAAATACAGCTTTTGTTAGTTATTTTATTTGTTAGCCGAGTAAGACTGGATATTTTGTTGTTTGTGAAGGAAATTATGGCTTTGACCTTTCTCTTGCGCTTTTGAAATGTTTTTGAAAATACTTATGGCAGGTGTGACTAGTTCGAGCACGACATAAACCTTTGTCAGCAGCTGGGTTCACGAACTTACAGAATGTCAGAATTGGGTCAGATGCTATATGAGATATGCACTGTTTTTGAAAGAAATTTCCAGACATAATATTCACAAAAAATGGATTGGAAGCTATAGCCTTTATTTATGCGACTATCTTTATACTTTTTGGAATTTAATTTTTCAATATAGCAGCCTGCAATAACAATACTGTATCACCAAATTTAGTATCACCATATGTCTCTATTTCGGTATATTTTTCAATATTTTTCCACCAACAGGACATGTCTTTAGTAGTGTTGTCATGATACTAAAATTTCAAATTCTATTTACAGTATACGATAATCACGGTTTGGTACATACCTCTGTTTTGGGGCTACTGTTCGGTTCATTTTCGGTACAGTATGGGAACAAAACCATTTACTTGTTGTTTATTTGTGTGTTTTATTAAACCAGCAGTTTGTATTAACATTATACAAACCAGAACATAAAATAAATGCAAAGTGCTGCTTGGTAATACTAATAAGTTAAATAAAATATTCTTAAATAAGCAACAAATGTATGAAATATTATAAAAAATTCCTTGTAAACAGTAAACAAAACTTTTCAAAAAGTAAAGAGCAGCACCAACAGTTTAGCATGAAGTTTTACTCAATCTTCATATTTTTGACCAGAAAAAACAACTTGTCCACATTGTCTGGAGTAAGTGCAGATCTGCGGAGGGGTGGCGGAGATTTTGTGCCGGAAAAAGGCAAAAGAGAGGACCGTGGCGCGACAACCGTAGTTTTGCGAGGATTCATGAGGTTCAGAGAGAAGTAGTCAAGGCAGGGGGCAATTGTTGTCAAGACAGCCACCCTAACTATAAAGCACTGCAAGAAACAAACTGCTGAAAGAAACATGAATATTAAAGAGCCGAGCCTTCCGTGTAGCTGCACATGTAGAGGCTGAATGTAAACACACACAAACTGCGCAAATTCACTCGTGCACAGCCCTGCATCGAACCAAATGTCCCGTGCTGAGACGATTTGAATACATGTACCGTTATACCCCTAGAATAGGCTCATCACTCGATTCTCATACCGAGTCCAATACCACAATGATGATAAAAACACTCTTTCTTTAAACAATAGCATGTGATTTTCAGCATTAAATTATAGTACTTTCTTTTATATTCCCATCCATGGTCTATGTGCTCTTATACTTGTTCTGATACAGCTCAAGATCATTCTAAAACTATTCAGAAAAGAATGTGAATGTGACTTTTTTTGTATCAAAGTTAGTCCTGTTCTCAGTCCTCCTCTGGTCCGGTCCATGCAGCTGTGTTCTGTGTGTTGTTGTTGCTCTCAGCGGTGCGTCTGACCTCGGCCTCTACAGTTTGAGCGAGTCTGCGTGAGCTCCGAACAC